TATTATTATTTTAACATTCAAAAAAATATTCCATTGATTTTTTGTTCTTCCATTGCATACGTGGTGAGGGGCTTCTGATTTCTTATTAAAGATAATATTTTTTAATTTGAATGTTGATAGTGACTTCATTGTAAGTGAAAGATTTTTTTTTTGGTGAGTCAATGGGAGAGAGTCTTTACCTTCAATAAAATTGAGTCTATAAGGTAACGTTGCAAATCGTCAAGCGCTAACCAATTAAGCGGAGAAATTGAGTCTATAAGGTAACGTTGCAAATCGTCAAGCGCTAACCAATTAAGTGGAGAAATTGAGTCTATAAGGTAACGTTGCAAATCGTCAAGCGCTAACCAATTAAGCGGAGACTCTTTTCCTATTGTAAATGAAAGATGACCAACGTGGTTTACAACTTCTTATTTAAGAAAACTATAGAGGGGTTTGGTGATGGCCGATCATTTTCCCTTGTCTTGCTTCTATCTGAAATAACGGGGAAATATTTTTTTCCATTTTCCTGATTGGTTAGTTGAGTACACACCAATATTTTCTATTTTGCCTTCCAAACCAATGATGCTTCTTAGTTCCTGGTAGTTGGAAGTTGGAACTCACGTTTAAGGTAGTTTAAAGACGTGAAATTCCACCCGAAATTTTCACACTTTGCTTTCTCACGCTACTAACCATTCATGCCTATGTATGTGGCTATGACCTAGGGGTGGCAATGGAGTTGGACCCGAGCTGGGACCCACCTTATATAACGGAGACGGTTCCGGGTATAGGTCCAACATTTGGAATCGGCAGGTAGGATCTGGGTTCAAAATTTGGACCCGAACACTCTTCAAGTCTAGGTCTGGGTCCGGTTGGACCGGATGTGTATCTAACCCGTACTCGTAAACTTTTGGAGATAAAATACTTCAAGTTCTATTCGTTTGGGTGTAGATCGTATAGACTAAGAACTCATAGTCATCTTTAGCTATTAAATTACAAATCAAACGACTTGAAATCTAATGACGGGTAATTGTGACCTTGTTACCAATATATGATGGTCAAAAAAAGCGAAAAAAAGAGAAAATGCTCATAGTGGGAGTGACAAATGGACCCGACCAAACTCGGGACCCGATGGGTACTGGTATGGGTCCAACTTTTGGACCCAACTGGTAGGGTCTAGGTCCAAAAACCTGGATCCAAATATTATTCGGGGTCTAGATCCGGGTCCAGCTGGACCTGAACAGTATCCGACCCATTGCCACCCCTAATAAGGCCATGTATAATGAGCTCCTGCATGAGCATATACTGTGTGTCCACTCCCTCACTCAAAATTATTTAATATGATTTTTTTGGTCTAAAATTATGGGGACTATGTAATAATTACTAGATGATTATTTTTCAAAAGAAAAAATGTAAATTTTGAGTCTGTAACACTTAAAATTTATAGATCTAACCATTAAAAAATTGGATTGTTTGCCTTCAATCGTAAGTATTACTTTTTTTTATTATATAGAGTTTATTTTAGATATTTTTTTTTGCTGAGATTAGTCTATAATAGAGATTAATCCCCAAAACTTGAGATCTAAAAAATATCCCTATTCTTTGCCCAAGAGAGTTGGGAGTAGGAAATCTTTTAGCTTTTATTTTTGAGAAAAATAATTTTGATATGGCCTTTGAACCATTTGCTTTCCAAAGTATTACATACGTTACATATATATGTATCCAAATCATTGCATGACATGCACAATTATAGACCAAGATGTATGTGCACCCACACATTTGTCCTCTTGTGTCATTCAGTGTGTAAACTAAAAATCACTGATTCAACTCAGAATCGCACAAGTCGTTCAATATCGAAGAGATAGGCAACTTGAGTATGAGGAACCCCATAATCAGAAGTATCTTCGGATTATTTTTTTGAGTTTCTATGTTAATTTTAGCCCAACCAAGTATCACCTAGTTGTATCAGGTGAATCGAGAACGAACCTGCGGTGATTTAGGGCTCCATTTCAATTTTTCAGTTATCTATTTAGGTTGAAGGGTTAAAATACGTCAATGGCATATGATATATGGTACGTCACATGACAATTCGCCGTTCAAAGTACGGACGGTGGAGATTATCGCAAAATTGACTTATGTTGGGGAAGCACTCTTAATCTCCATTGTCCATCATGGTGATATAGCGATAAATGCCTTTCTGGTTAGCCATAGACCAGACACATGTGGTGCACATAACTGTTAGTTAAATAGAGATTTTCTACAAACCATTTATATTTTGTACATGAAGGTCACAGTCATTTCTACTCATTAGATGTCAAATTGGATGGCTTGTACCGAGTTATGAAGTCCTAAAAATTTTATTGTGGAACTTTGCGTTTATTCAATGACACTCTAACAACCATCCATTTTAAAATTTAAATGACAAAAATAATTGTGACCTCTTGTAGACAATCCCCTTAAATTAGCTTAATGAATAAAAACTTTATTTATAAAAGCTATTTTTTTTATTGGTTAGAAAGAAAAGAGAAATCACCTTTAGCTTTATAGCTTCCACACCTTTCTCAAAGACAAAAATACCCAATATCCTTTAAACTCCTGAGCTAGCTATCAGAAGTGTGGGCAAAATAGTCTTTTGCTACATGATAAATCTAATTTCGATCTTACAACAAATTACAGGGGCTAATTTGGCCACGAATGGCATATTTTGGGGGCTATTCCTGCTAATTTGAAGCAAATCAAAGGGCACTTCAGTAACCATTCAGGAGAAAATGGAAACCAGCTCTCCCAGTTTCCTCAGTGCACCGACAGTTTCCTTTGCGGCTACTGAGCCATAAGGTGACCGGCCGTACACCAGTTTCCCGGTAACTTCGACCGAAATCAACCAGCCGTACACGAGCCAGCCCCCATAAAAGACGATCACTCGACGACAGAGAGATGCAAAGCCGGAGACACTGTAAACTTCTTTAAAGAGGATTCAGAACAGATAGAGTGAGTGTGACCTCACAACGCATGAGAAGCAGTAATCAAATCTGATTTTTCAGAAGAAGCGGAGGCCGCTTGTAATGCTTAAATAATGAGGCTTTTCGTTCTCCATTGAAAAAGGCTCGATTGTCAAGAAATGAGGCAGGTTTGAGCTAGCTGCTCTTTACTCTTCAGTGGCAGGCTTAATTGGCGATACATTAGGTGGACTTTGAGCTGGGATTGGAGCTCCTGGCTATAGACTGCAGCTTCCTTTGACTCAGAGAGAGTTCTGATCTTGGTGTAAGTTTCAGCTTTTCTCTTAAAGAGTAGGTTTGTGTCAGCTTCTTTTTGTTCTGTTCTCGCCTTTACAGATATTGATCTGGGGCTTTAAAAGCGTGTTCATGGATTATTAGAAGAGATTGTACCTAGTTAATGCGACGCGTTTTCTATCTACATTTTGATATTTCACAGTGAGTGATGTTCCTGTTTCTTCGTTTTTGACGAATCTTTATTGTTTGCTCGAGAGTCACGAGAATCAGCAATTGACTGAGTCGATGGCCTATTTCTATTAGTAACGAATTGCTTGTTTTTGAACGGTTGAAATCGGTGATTATTTTACAATTCGCAGCTTGAATATTTCATATTGTTTGCCTTGAACCTTTGAATTACTGTTATTGCTAAATTGCTTCTCGTTTTGCTACATTGAGCAGCATAGATCGAAAAAAAGAGCTCGTTCTTACAAAAGGAAACTCAAAAGGTTTTGCAGGTGATCCCTCCAGATCGTCGGATGTCTATTGTAAATTTGTAATTAAGTGGAGGGAGTTCCATTTTGGCCGCATTGTGTCTTGTCAATTCAAAATATTTTAGGTTATTTTCTAGATTTTTATGGAAATTCACTTAGTTGGCCATCCATAGAAACTTGACCAGCTATGACCTTTTCTGATCTACGATTCGTATCCTACATTTAGTTGCAGTTTCACTGTATCAGGTCACTAATCTGTAGAACTTCAGCTTTTCATTACTTGTAAAATTGTACTACTTTTCTTCCTCACCGATGATTTCTAGGCTGAATCACTCTTTGAGATGAGTCTGTTTCATCTGAAATTTAACTTTGGTGTACTGAATTTACCTCTTTCACGACATTTTGTGGTTTTTGAGTAATTTTATGTAATTATGTTCATATCTTTATTTTTACTGGATCTTTATTTTCCTTTGCTATATTTGTACACAGTCACTTTATTGCTGTATTCTTTGATGTGGTTTTGGTCTTTCCTCACTGATTTTTAAACTTCTTCTCTTTACTTGGTTGGATCTTTATTTTACCTCAATTTATCTGCAAGATCTTGCTTTTTCCATGCATTTGCTACTGTATCTTGAGCTTGGAGAACATAACAAGGTTATTTTTCTCCATTCGTGGATTTTTAGTGCACATTATGGTGTTTGTGCTATGTTTTGTGTCTATGTTCTCTTAATTTCTTGTGGATCTTATAGGCTTATTGCAATTGGCCTTGATTTTTTCTTCTTCAATCCACACTTCGATTCTCCTTTCTGTCTTCTTTTTTTTGTTTCTTCTTCTTCTTCTTCTTCTTCTGAAATCTCTCTCTCTCTCTCTCTCTCTCTCAGATTTTTTTTTTTTCTGTTTTCTCAATATATATGTAGATATATTTCATGTCATTTAGATCTTATATGCATAACAGTCTCTTCTGTACTTTTAGCCTTTTTCACTTTCTTAATAAGAAAGAAAACAGAGTTTAAGGCAAAATTCTTCTTGATCTAGTCTATACAGTTCTTTCTAGTAATATTGAAAATGATGGCTCCTTCTTATGCACATGTTGTCTTGCCTTTTCCTTTTCTTTCCTTTTCACCTGTAGTTTGGTTCTCTTATGGAGGTTCAGATATTTTTAGCTGTAGTAGTAAATCTTTATGTCTCTTATGCTTGGTTTGTAGATTTTTAACGTCAAACATGGCCAATGTTAGAAGAGAACTAAATTTATATTATGTTATATTTTCATGCAGTACTTCTTGTTCAGTATACGAAGATCTATGTCTTATGTGAGTGGCAAGCAATCAACAGAAAAGTTCAAATCTGCAGTCTTATATGTCTTATGTGAGTGGAAAGCAATCAACAGAAAAGTTCAAATCTGCAATCTTAAGAATTTCTGTGGTAACTCTTATAGTGACCCAGTTTTGGTATGTTAAAATTTGAACTGAGGACTATCGCCATTTTTCAGCATTTTCTTTAAACAATTGAGCCTTTATGGTTCTCTGATTGAAGGAGCATCGTATTATCAACCACTAAATATTATATCAATGGATGCCCTTTTTGTCTGGTAACTGAAAATTTGAAACGTAGGTTGGTGGCTATGGTGTCCATCATTTAGATTAAAACTACATCCACGCTGTTTAGCATTTCTGCATTAAAAAGTCAATGGAAGTTATATGTGGTAGAATGTGCTCTGTAGATTTGAGGTGAAAATTTTCTTTTAAATATGCAAAATCACTTTTAAATATGCAGAATTTTCTTTTAAGTATGCAGAATTTTCTTTTAAATATGCAGAATTTTCTTTTAAATATGCAAAATTTTCTTTTAAATATGCAGAATCTGCGTATTCATGCCAGTGAAATGTGCTTCACTTATACATTTCTTGTTCATTTCCCAATTATAATGCCATGCTTTCTGCAATAGCTTAATTGAAATTTGTGGTATTGTTTTCCTGTCTGCACAATTGCTTGTTGAGTGAGCTTCCATGCTTACAGATTGTATGGAAGTGGTTCTCTTCCCTTATCCTAGTCTTAATTCACATGGCACATGTTGTCATTCTGCAGTAAATTATTTTATATCCTTGCTCATGGGCAACCCTGAGCAACAACTCTTGTTTCTAATCACTCATATGTTCTATGTTACATTGTCCTGCACGTTGATGCTTTGGGTTTCTTATTACACAAACATTCAAAAGCTAGTTTTATTCTTTCGCTTTTTGCTGTAATTTCCTTATTGAATTTCATTGTGCATGTCTTATGAATGCGAGTTATTAGCAACAATGCCTAGTTGCCTTCTATATTTGATCAGCTATGGTAATCATGTTTGCTTAAACAATTCTCATCAGGCTGCATTCATTGTGTTGTATTTATAGTCATAGCTCATGGTAATTATATATCTGGGAATTATTGTTTACAATGACTGGCAATCATACCTAGGTATCTTTTGATTCTCTGAGTTCATTTTCTCTTAGCCATGGCTCTGGGTCTTAGCTGATATGTAGAATGTTGCATTTTTCCAATAGAGACCTGCTGTAGAATTTCTGGGGTACTTTAGTGTTGTGAATTTAGTGGATGAGCCGAAGATGCCAGGACCAGAAGCTGACATCATGAAAAATAAATGGTTTATTGACATGAAAAATACAAACTCTGAACAACAGACTCTAGCATGTTATATGTCATAGTATGCAAAGGGATGATCTCTGGCATGCTGATTTCTTATTGTCTACCTTCTTTTCCATTGGAAACCGAGCTATTTGGAAATGGTGGCTCTTTCTTTCCAATGTACGAATCATCTGTACAGTATAAGAATTTCTTTCCTATTGGCTTCTGACATACTTTGTTGTTTCCATGTACAGAACGCTTGAATTGCTCATAGACCGTGCCAGGGCTAGTCACTGAAATGCTTGGAAAAGAAGTCTCATTGCTTAAAGAATCCATGTGTTGACTTGTTTTGTCATTCTTATGGGCTTATGGTAGGTCTGGAAAGAAAAGTTTCAATGCCCGATCTTAACGGGAAGAAGCGCTCCAATGGTGATGAAATAAAAAAAGGGAAGCCCAACTTGGAACAGGAACGTAAAGGCTCGAAGAATGTAGAGGGTAGATCTGATAACAAAGATCCAAAAGCTGAAGTAGGTTCTTATCAGTGTGTTGCAAGCACGGGTATTGATTCTACTGAAGTTTACGAAGAAGTAGATATACACTACATGGATGATGCAAACAGGTCTGAGGGGACAGTAATGGAGGCAAATTTCAATGATAGAGACAACCATGCTAACGAATTGGGAAAGCAGGAAACCAATGGGAATTCCACAAAAGCAGAGAAACCATCAACTAAGGAGGAAGAATCTGATGGGGATACAGGATCGCAGGCATCTGAAGAGTGTAAGAATGAAAGGTCCTCAGGGGTTACTAAAAAGCAGACAAATGGTCGCTCACAAGAGTCTTGCCCTCGTGCTTCAAGAGCAGCTACAGATAGGCGTGAAGCACAGAAGCCAAATTCCCGCGATGCTCAAAAGAAGGCTTCAAAAGCCCGTAGGAAAGATCCAAAAACAAAGTCCAAAACCACTGATAACAAACCCAAGAACCCAAAAGTGCCTGCAAAACCTTCATCTGACTGTTCGACAGGATCAGATGAGAAATCCATTGAAGAAGTGAAGGAAATTGATGTATTGGAAGAGGCGCCAACTGGTGCTGGAAGCATTGCAACTGATGAGGAAAAAGCTGATATGGAAGATATTCCTTTGGATGAAGACCCCATTGCTGTTGCCGATAAAATTGAAGACATGGAGAAAAGGGTTGAAAAACTTGAAGGGGAACTCAGAGAAACTGCTGCCCTTGAGATTGCACTCTATTCAGTGGTTGCAGAGCATGGAAGCTCTGCGCACAAGGTCCATGCACCAGCCAGACGCCTTTCCAGGTTATACATTCATGCTTGCAAATATTGGGGTCAGGATAGGAGAGCAAGTGTCGCTAGAAGTGCAGTATTAGGGCTTGTATTGGTCTCAAAGGCTTGTGGTAATGATGTTCCGAGGTATGTAATGACATTAACTCCTGGTTTTGGTTTCTTATTCGATCTTCTTACTCAAGATACGAAATCAAATGGCTTTACTTGAACTTGAACTTCAATACTAGTAGAGCACAGATATTGGGAAACTACACCTCTAGGTTGGGTTTCTAGTTATTCTATTTTTACCTTCTGGATTTGGATTTCAATAGTTACTACTTATGGGAGATAATTACTACTTACCTTTCATTTTCTTATCCTTTTTTTGCTTCTTATTTAAGGTTGACCTTTTGGTTGTCAAACACGGTTGTCTTGAGGGAGATAATTTCTCAAGCTTTCAACAATTCCCATAATTCAAATCTGGCTACACGAATTGTTGAATCAAATGGGGGTGGGAGGAGAAAATCTTCCGCACTGACATGGAAGGGGAACTCAGGCAATAAGCAAGGAAAAACCACTGGTTTTATGCAGTTTGTTGATGACTGGCAAGAGACAAGTACTTTTACGGGTGCATTGGAGAAGATTGAATCCTGGATCTTTTCCCGTATCACTGAATCTGTGTGGTGGCAGGTAGAAGTTTTATTTAGTAATTATCAATGATGTACTGCCTTTGAAGCATTAGTAAATGGGACCGTACTACCTAATAATTATCAATGCGAATACTTCTATTCAAGACAGAATTATCAAAGCTTAAATGGGACAAAAATTGTTCAGAAACAGTTGAAAAGAACAATTACACTGTATCGAAATGCAACTGTGATTCTATTTCTGTTTTCCTTCTCTTGGATTCTTTACCTTAACTTGATCCATTGATGTTGCTTTTAAGACAAAATGGTTTCTTTTAGAATTGTGTTTTTGCTAAGCATTTTGATGATTACTGGACATGTTTTTACATTTTCATGTGTTTGTAGGCATTAGCTCCACACATGCAATCTCCAGAAGAGGACTTGTTCACAGAAAAGAGACATGTTCGGGTGCTTGGACCAGCTCTAGGTGACCAGAAACAGGGTAGCTTTTCTATAGATCTTTGGAAAGGTGCTTTCCTAGAAGCTCAGCAAAGGTTATGTCCTGTTCGTGCCGGGGGTCATGAATGTGGCTGCTTACCAGTGTTGGCAAGAATGGTATGAGAATTATATTACTTCTTCTCTGTTTTGCTTTTTCTTATCTTAGAGGCAGTTGGTTTTCTTGTTAAATTTTCTCCATACAGTTGTTCTTTTTATAATGGGTGCGGTTTGTATAGTGCTTAGGCTCTAAACTATCAATTAGAGCCTACCTTCAAATAGTGTTGAGAAATGTGGTTTCAATACTGGAAATCTTTGTGATAGCCTTAAAATATATTTTCATCTCTATTTATAAAGTTTAAAGCTTCAAAAGTAGTGTAGATCGACAAATCTATGAAAACTTGAAAATCTTGAAAATTGACGGCCCAAAAATACGTTACAAAATGCACTACTTTCAAAACTTAAAATCCATTTTTTCTCATGTCCATGCATCTTGATGTTGAGATGATCAATTTGAGGATATTTGGGCATCAAAACAACCTCTTCTAGTGAAATTGTTGAGGTAGGGTCTAATTTGATTGTTTAGAGCCTCGGCTCTATATTAACTTTTCCCTTTTATAATAGCTCTCCTTTTTATTCTTCTACTATTGGTATTCTGTTATTTGACTGATTGTTTGCATCCATTCCATTTCTCTCCTATTAAATGCTGAGGGCCTACCTAAAACATGTTGCTGGTTTTCTTTCTTTCTATGTTTATTTTTGTGATAATTGGCCTCTTTGTTCCTTTAGAAAATTGGTTTTATTTTCTCCGTTTTGATAATTGGTTTTCTCTCTTCTTCTTTTTTTTTTTTTTGCTTCTTTTTTTGACATGGTTTTCCTGTTATTTTGACATTGTGAGCAGGTTATGGAACAGTGTGTCTCAAGGCTAGACATAGCCATGTTCAATGCAATTTTACGGGAATCAGTGAATGAAATGCCAACTGATCCTGTATCTGATCCAATTTGTGATCCCAAAGTTCTCCCAATTCCTGCTGGAGATTTGAGCTTTGGTGCTGGTGCTCAGCTAAAAAATGCTGTATGTTTCCTCTTACTTAATCTCATGGCTTATGATGGTTAGTTTGCATGCTTCTTCTTGAATAGTGCCTTTCCACGAACTCCTCTAAAGATGCATTGTTGTGATGGTAATGTTCGATAGCGATCCCTGCAAGTTCTTTCTGGATGCTTAACACATTGGATTGGGCAAATTATTATGAGGAATAGTAGTCCATACTGCCATCTATGTTCCCTTGTATAAGTGGAAACAATTGGTATGGGAACCACCATGCTGAGGTTATTATTCAACATGCATAGACTCTGGGCTCTGTCACAAGATTCCGCAACTTCTTAAGAAAAAGGCTAGGTCACCCTTGTTTGGTCTTTCCAGGACATATTTGAAGGGATTGAATTCTTGACTTCCCTCTCACCCAACCCGATATCTCTACCTCTTAGCCTAAGCCTAAAGGACATTTCTGCAATGTCTATATTATAATATTCTAGAAAAATCGAAATGGAAATTCTGTGAATTATTATTGATATATTTATCTTTACTATAAACTTCTATTGATTACTAAAAGAAGATGTACGATGGTTTAAATTTAAAAAAAGCCCAACTGTACAATTGTTGAATTTGGGAGCTTATTTCGTCTGTATATATATAATACATCAAAAACTGCATGTTATATTTTGACATGCATGATCTGATTGTGTTAATTTAAAGTTCGTTTTTAAATTAGTTGTTGAAACCTTGGTTGCGAGCAAGTTCTTCTAATATTTGTATTCTGGATTTTGATCACATGCAACCCTTAACCCTCACTCACATGAGAGAGAGAGAGAGAGAGAGAGAGAGAGAGAGAGAGAGAGAGAGAGAGAGAGAGAG